ATTCCTGCTTGGCTTTTTCCTTTTTTGGAGGGATCCTGTGTTTTCTCCCTGGAGGCACACTGTAGCCAGCTGGGTTCTCAAACTGCTTTCTGACTTCATTCCACAGCCAAATAAGGGCATGTCATCCCTTCTTGTTAATCAATTGATTGACTTCCTGAGGAGTTATGTGAGTACAGGCTTTCTAGCATCATATGCCTACAGATTCAGGCTGGGCACTTAATAATTCAGTTTCAAAAGATAAGGAATAGATTCAGGTATTTCTCAGTCATTTACCCCCATGTATGTATAAAAGCTGTTCCCCCTCAACCTGAGTTCCTGCAGGACCTGCATAAACAAGTACTGGCTGCTCGCTCATTGAGGAAAGTTACAGTGGGAGCTGGCTGAACTTCTTACACTGTGCCATCTGGTTCGTGTGTCAAGCCCTTTTTAAGTGATTGTGTTATATCACTAAAAATAGCTAACGTCTTTCATCCCTTCTCTTGTATTAACAGAACACCCAGCTTCAGAGAACTGTTGCGTTTTTTCACCCTGTGAAACAAGACTATTCCATCATGACCGTGGAAAGATTTTTATCATTTGTGGGTTATCAGAGCTACCAGAAAGCCACTGGCCTAGCTGAAGAACCTGCTTAAAAGCCATGGTTTACCTAGAGGACATGATTTTGGTAATAGATACATGGACTCCCTGCTCTGCTCCATCCCACGCCACTCACAAACGGATGAAATGCACGTATATGCAATTGGCCTCCTGGCATACAAGACTGCTGAAAGGATAAGAATAGAAGGGAAGTCATGTGCCTTGTGTAAAGGGGAACAAGATGTGTCTAATGGTGGCAATGCTAAATCAATATTCTAATTCAATGTGCAAAACAGACTAGACACCACACTTTGACCTGGCACTCTGCAGCAGGTCACCAGGGTGCCCATTTTATGCTGTGCTGTCGGATCTGGAACAAGAAATGACATGGATCTACAGGAGGTAGGGAGTGGGATTATTGTGGCAGGAAGGCGTGGGGACATAAGGAAGTGATAACGGGTCTCCAGCACGTGGTAACTTTTTGCACAAAGATGGACACTGCAGCTTCTGCCCCTATTCAGGCAATGGTTTGACAGCAGCTGATGCCACAGTCTACTCTCTGGTTAAGAATAGGAGATAAGAGATTTGGAAAATAAGGAGCATGGTAATAGGGGTATGTTGGGGGGGGGGTGTCTTGGTTAGGGGAAAAGAAAAATGCAGTAAGATGGGAAGCAAGGGACTTCAATTTGGGCGGCTGTATTGATCAGTTAACAACCATCCTAGCAGCCTGAACTATACATGCAGCAAGCAAAGCAAGACTAGATCTGAAATTACTATAATACAGCTAGAGCTTTGTAATAATGGCTTTTGTGTGCAGTATTAAATTTCTTAGCAATAAACTCATGCAAATCAGGTTTATCCTATGTGCAATTCGAATCATGTATTAAATGGACTTCTGTTACTGAGGATGGTACAGTCATTGACTGGCATATTCCGTATGTAACAACAGAACTGGAGTGGGTCCTCTCTGTCTCTGTATCTTGTGCTTAGCTTGGAGGTATTTTTTAAATGTCCGTGAGAAAAGCTACTTAACCTCTTAAAATAGTGTTAATGATGATTCCTGTGTTCCTCTGCTTAGCTGGGCTTGGGTAAGACCTTAGAAAATCTTTGTACTTTGAGCATTTGTAAAATGGAGATGATGACAGTCTCTGAGGGGGTGTCATGACAAACTAATCATTTACATTTGAAAAGAGACTGCTATTCTTGCCTCATTCATAGGCTATGGAAAAGCTTCCCAGCACTGGAGGGACTGTTTTCTCTGCAACTGAGCACAATTTTAACGCTATGGCCAAAGGAGGAAAAATTTCTATTAGAGACCCCATCTAAGCGTGTTGCTTTCCTGCCAGTCTGTGAGCTGTCATTGAGGGACATATGCATACGCTGTGATAGGTAATAAAAGCTAAGCTGCAGGGTAAATAGCAGGTTTAGGGCTTTGCACTGCTGCCTCCATTAAACTTATGCTTTGCATTTTAATTCTGAAGAGGTGGGAGTAGCTTTCAAAGCTTCTTGTTTTGATCCCTCAGGCCTACTCCTAGTTCTGACTTTATATTCCCTGTAGGGCTATCACTGATAGTAACCTTTCATAACAAGTCAGCTGAATACCCCTGCTCACACATCTGAAAGACTCCAAGTGAGCTGTTTTGTCCCGGCACCGTGTCCCAGGAACGAGTTCAGGGCAGGACTGGGGTTGGTGCATGGCTGTTGATGCTACTTACTTACTTTTAAGAGTAAACTGAAAGCCTAGATGTTGCACAGAAAACGCCTATAAGTCTAGAACGGCACTGCTAAGGTTTTTTAAAGAAAATGAGCTGCCTGAGTACAAGAATGCTGAATATCTCTTACCTTACTGTGTAAGCAACTCAAAGCTTGTTCCTCAGGGCTCTTTTAAAAACAGACTGCAGTGACTCCTGGGCAGGTTTCTGTGGAAGATGACTGCAGCATTGCTGAAGAGTAGTCCCACGTACACTCTCACTGCAGCTATTGGGTGACCATTTTAATTCCTTTATTAAAAGGAAACCAGCAACCTGTAGGTACTATGTCTATCCTTAGTTTTCCGTTTATGACAATAAAAACAAAATAAAATCTAAATCCCTCTGAAGCGCCACTGTGCCTGCTGCTCTGTTGCTTAAGCTGTACTCTGTGGCAGTCCCTTTTTCAGCAGGGATGTGAGATAGCTGCCTAGTTCCTCATCCTAGAGAGAGAAAAGAGAAACAAGCTGAAAGCAACATTCCGTTTGACTGTTTCCCATTTGGTGCAATAAATTAGACTCTGCTACCTGGAAAGAGAGTGAAATAATTCTTGGACCCAGCAAAATTTAATGTCAGCAGTGTTCAAAAATGGAAACCAATTCAGTTAGCACAAACCCATTTCTGGGTGTTCTTTCAAAATATCAGTGTAAAACTCCCATTTGTCAAAGAAGGTGCCTCTTTTGAAAATAAATGTCAGCTCTTCTTGAAAGTAAAGAATTAAAGACCTATTGTTTTTTGGTTTGTCCTCAAGAAGACATTTCCTTGCTGTGAAGGAAGCGTTAAAAAAAAAATAAAAAATACAAACACAAAATATACTCTTGAAAGCAGGAAAATGTAAATACAGCTGAGAATTAGAAGTTTGTTACTGTAGTGTCCTCAAAACAGATGAAATTACACTACTGTGTAGTTGCTCCAAACCAGTTGTCTTGAGTTCAGTGGTATCAGAGAAAACTGGCTCAACTGAGCCCTGTACAACGATTTGTACTAAAGCTAAAATGATTAAAAAAGATTGGCAGGGGCTCACTGTCATCTTTCGGTCAAACTACTTCAAAGATATAGAGGAGTGGTGAAAACTCACAGCAGCAATCCACTCTGCTAGCCAGTTTCAGAGTGTGAGGAGTTAAGACCAACTGGAGTTGCCTGAAAAGCATGTTTCTAAGTGTTCTTACCTGGTAAGTCCAGGATACAAGCAAAACTTTTGTTCCTTGATCCTCTGAATGTGCTGTAGCTTGGATAAGAATGGACTCTACTGTTATAGAGCCATCAGGGAGATGCTGAACGGAATAATCTTTCAGAATCCTGGTAAGAAAGAAGGTATGTGATTTATTTCGGAGGGGATAAACACACAAGCTGAAGGGTGGGTCACTCCCTGAATCTTGGAGCCTCGAATAGCAGTGTGCTGTTACTGCTTTTAGCTGTATCTCTGAGCCAGCACCTACTGCCCAGGGAAGGCAAAATGGACCTTATTCATAGCTTGCTTATTTTGGTGTTTGCACTAATCATGAAAAGACAGACCTTTCCTACAGAGTTCCATTTAAAGCTTTCCTGACAGCTAGCGCTCCAGTCTGAGACCCTATTCATCTGAGGAAAGCACTACTTTTGGACTAGACCAGCTGCCTTTAGTACAAAAATATTTAAGTTTCAACTGCTACCAGCTTCTGAATAGTTTTAAGGGCTGTCCAGATCCCATGCCTGATGGGTCTCACTCTGACCTAACATCTGAACTAATTTCAGCTAGAAGCAGCAGTGACAGCAGCAATCCCACAGGTAAGATTTCAGCTGGCCTGCACAAGCTTGTCAAAGGCCGTTGGCATGTACGCCGACTACCAACCTCTGCTACTGCAGTGTAATCACTGCTCTTTATTTTAGCTAAATAGACTGAAATCAAAAACATTTCGAGTTTTCTGGGCTGCAGTTTTCCTCATCTGTCCCACTGCAATGCGGCAAGTTTCCTTAGCTCTATAGAGCTGGTCTAGAATGGCAGGAAGGAGGGGGCACTTGTATTACCTCTGTCTGTTAAGAATGATACGCTCTAGTTCATCCCCAGCAAGAAAAGCCAAACACAGCCAAGAACGGACTTACGCTTTGAGATGGTTGTATACACGCAGCACTGTCTCATGTTCCTTCCGTGGATCCTGAATGTGAACACGGCAGGTGAAACGCAACTGATGTTCTGCAAGGCCCAGCTCTTTCAGGGCCTGCTCTGGAGAAACCAGACGGAAGCTCTGGAGATTGAAAGTACAAATCCATTACGAGCTATTTCTTTTTGCCCAGTCTTCTGAAGTTTTATTCCTCCTCTGTGGTCAGCTGAACACAGCTATGTGTTCATCACTGCAAAACTCCTGCAAAGAGTAGCAGCTAGGTGCGAGCGTGTGCAGGACAGCAGCGAAGGAGGGAAGAATGGAGCAAATAGCCAGAAAAAGGGCCCTACTGTTTCCCAAAACTGCATGTATTAAAAGTTGCTCTCTGAATATAAGTTGGTTCAACCTCTTTTTTTAATCACATGACTGATTTGCTCAACTACGAACATTAGGCTATAGAGTAAGAACTCCTTCCCTGGCACCTTTCAGTCCTTGTTCAAACTGAGGTCTACCAACAACAGGGTGCATCTCACTTCATTTGATTTTTACAGGCATGGTGAATCACAAACACCTCGTATTCACCGGCTGAAAACCACAGCTTCCTTAGAGCGTCCTTAGCTGTACCCAGGAGGTGGCAGGGGGCCAGCACCAAAAAAACACCCAGATTTTGAACAGAAGCAGCTCTACAGTCTGATCAGTTGTTTACTCTGACTTCATCCATTAGCATTCATGAGGCTGACCAGTGGAAAGTCTACCTTCACAACACCCTGCTGATGAAGAGGAAGATACTAATTCCAAAGCTACGGGACTGGTAAAGACTGTCAATCAGGCAACTGACAATCTGGAGAGTCTTTCTTACAGACTAATCCCATTCACAGGCGTGCAGGAGCAGCTGTTGCTGGGCTCCTTCCAATAAACTAGGACTACACACCTTTATTTTGGTTCCTTGTTCACCTAGACCTTGCTCGTGAATGACAACAGTCTCATACAGAGGACAACAAGACAAGTTTAAGAACTTTTTTACTTACATTATCCTTCATAATTAATGTGCCATGCATGAGCTTTGGCTTCTTGACATCTGGTAAGAGACCTAACCCAAAGCCAGCAGAAGAGAAAGACAACAGGGTTAATGATACTGTGCCTACTTTTTACACCTATAAGAAGATTGCTTTAGGACTTAAGAGATTCGATTTTTTTTTTTTCCTCCAAGTGAAATAAGGGTTGTACATCCTTCCACTGAGGTATGATAGGTTCAGAGACAGTGATTTTACATTTTAATTCTCCTGTCACTTAAAAACAAAGTATGTGGTGCTTAAACCACTAGCAATGCTCTAGAAACATGGAAAACAATGCTTGTAATCTAGAACATCTGCCTCTCTTTTCCCATGTTACACCTTGATTTGAGAAATTATAAATTTTTTCTTAAATTAGATGTTAAAAAGTAATTCCAAATTTCACAGAACTAGCTAGTAAAAGCATACATGGACTTTGTTTACATCGTGAACGGGTAACAAATAGCAAAGTCGCTTTTTTTTTTTTTTTTTTTTTTAACCTTTTAACTAAACGTCTACTAAACAAATCAACACTAATTATTGAACATACATTCACAGCAGAACAGTCACTTCATTTCACAGGAAGCCCTTCACAACCACTAAACGCTGGTAAAGCATGTTCTTATACAGGAAGTAATGCTGTAAGGCACCATTTTTACAAGTGGCCCTGCAATGCTGTCTCTGCGTAATGCAAACACTATACAAATTAACTTCAATACAGTGATAGGGCCCA